TAAGGAGCTCAAAGACGAGATCGAAAGATTGATAAGAGCTGGACACTTGAAGGAGTTTGTGGTGCAAGAGCGAGGGAAGAAGGAGGATGCAGAGGGGGTTGATCGAAAGAGAAAGCCAGAGGAGCCGGGAGAGAGAGCTCCGAAAAGGGGTGTGATCCACATGATAGCAGGAGGACCAACGGATGGGGATTCCAATGCGGCAAGGAAGGCTAATTTAAGGGCCGATTGGGAGAATGTGGCGGAGGTTCAGATCGTTCATCCTATACCGGAGTTGACCTTTGGAGCAAAGGATTCTCACGGGATTTTGGCACCTCATAATGACGCATTGGTGGTGACAGCGGAGATAGCGAACTATGACGTTGAAAGGATATTGGTCGATACGGGGAGCTCGGCGGATATTATGTTTTATGAGTGTTTCAGGAAAATGGATCTGGGGATGGAAATCACTCCCATTAGGACTTCGTTGTTCGGGTTTAGTGGCACTGAAGTAGTGCCATTGGGAGAGGTACAACTAACCATGGCCTTAGGGACTCCTCCCCTGAGGAAGGTGAAAGCTGTTCGTTTTGTGATTGTTAAAGCAGACTCGGCTTACAATGTCATCCTAGGGAGACCCAGCTTAAACTCTTTCCAAGCGGCAATTTCCACATACTGCATGAAAATGAAGTTCCCGGTGGGCGATCTCGTGGGTGAAGTGGCAGGAGATCAAAGGTTGGCGAGGAGCTGTTACCAGACAGTGTTGAAGGCGGGTCATAAGAGGAAATGTATGGAGGTTGACTCGAGCAAAGTCAAGGGGGAGAACTCGAGCAGGGGCAAAGAGGCAAGGACGGAGGTGATCCCGCAGGATGAACTGATGGAGATTGCCCTTGTGGAGGGAGAATGCGAGAAGTTGACGAGGGTTGGTATGGAGTTGCAAGAACCTATCAAGACACAATTGATAACTTTGCTGCGAGAGTATGTCGACATTTTTGCTTTCACCCCAGAGGACTTGGTAGGCATTGATCGCGAGGTGGCCGAACATAAATTGAACATTGACCCAAAGATGAGGCCTGTCAAGCAGAAGCGTCGACATTTCGGAGCAGAGTTGGACATCATTATGGGAAATGAGGTAGAGAAGATGATCCAAGCGGGTCATGTTAAACCCATTCAATTCCCGGAATTGCTCTCGAATCAAGTGATGGTGAGGAAGGCAGAGAACAAGTGGCGCATGTGCACGGACTTTCGTGACCTTAACAAAGCATGTCCTAAAGACCACTACCCTTTGCCACGCATTGATCAACTTGTAGATTCGACGGCGGGATGCGAGCTATTGAGTATGATGGACGCATCACAAGGGTACCACCAGTT